TTAAATCTAGCTAACAAAATATATATTGTGTGTTTGATTGGTCCAGACACTACACGGGCAAACTGCCGCCAACGTGAGCCCAACGAGAGCCGACGAGTGGAACACACCAAACAAACTAGCCCGACCTTCACTTGCCGTCGGCTCTGGCTCCAGCCAATTGTTATTGACTTACATTTCAAAATAAAACTTTATAAATTAAACATTGTTTCTAGTTCATCTAAAATAAAATATGCTATATAAGTAAATATTCTCCATGAGAGCACAGCCCAAAGCTCATGGCCAGTGGTGTTCGGACTGGAGTTTGAACATCTGCTTAATGATATAACTGGGAATCACCCACAAGCTCTCCCGCGAGCCGTCCCAGCGAAGCGCAGGGGAAAGATTTTACTCTATCGCTTTGTTCTAAGCAACTGGGGCGTCCCGGGGCTCGAAATTCGCAGGGTAGGAGGGGGTAGTGATGCTGGGTGTAACTAAAAAGGTGCCATTGTCGAGTGAGGTCCGGTTGGGGAGTTAAGGAACTCATATTGCATATCTCATCATATCTCATATCGCATAATCTTATTAACTGTTTATCTCCTGAACTGCATCTTTCTTTACCACGCTATTCAGCGCCAATCCTGCCGTGCAGTCAATTTCACTGGTTAAGGTTAGGGTCAGGTGTGGGGTAGGTTTAGGGGTTAGCATTTTTTGTAGCATAGTGTAGGAAATCAACACTTTAATTGACACAACCAATAAAATCTTTAGAATCAGCTGTGGGGCGAAGTTTGCACTTAAGTGGATTGGGGGGGAAAATTGTGCATGCGTGTCATGTGCCTGTCTGTCAATGGGAGGAAGCCACGCCCTATTTTGGAGCTCCCACCCGGTTTTGGAGTTCCCGCCCCCATTTGGAGTTCTCCAGGCTGCAGTTATACCAGGCGGCAACCTCCCCGTCTCTCTCGTGAAACCAACACGGAAGTGACTAAAACTGCAACTCATCGACTGGCCGCTAGAGGCTGGCTCCAAAAGGGAGTCAGTCCCATAGACTCCCCATGTTAAAATGCCCAACTTTACAACAGAAAAAAATGTGTTTACAGCCTGGTACAAAAAGTGGTTTTGGTCTATATAGCTAATTTTGCCCTTCATGACAACTGTGAGGGGGTGAATTTTTTTATAAGTCATCCATTTAAATTATATTAAGCCTTAAAGTTCTGCATAATTAAGGCCGTGGCCACTTGAGTGACAGGTGGATTGCTGCTGCCCAGCAAGCAATTTTGCATTTAAAAGACGTCTAATCATAGCCCAAGAATAGACTAGTCATCAATTAGATGGCTATTAAACGACTACATATATACATCTAATAGACAACAAAATGGCAATCCATACATACAGCTTTTATTAAGAAAAATAAAATTTTTAACAACTTGGACAACTTAAGACAATACACAATTATAAAAATACAAAAGAATTAATGACAAAATAAAATGTTATAAATACAATACACTTAAATATAAATATTATGATAAAAAAATCTGGAGTTTTTAACAACTTAAGATAATAAAAATATAAACATGAAAAAATTAAATATTTTAAATAACTTAAGATATTTAAAAGGAAAAAAAATCTAATACAAATCAAGAGCATGTTATCACACTTAATATTACAACATAACGGATAAATGACAACATAAAAAAAAGATTAACCCTTGTGTTGGTTTACTTTTAACAAATAAAACAACCAACAGTGAACTTAAAGGAAATTATTAATTATTGGTTTTATTTCTTGTTTAAAATAAAAGTCATTCTCTTTTGTTTGGATGCCAACTAAAAACAAAAACGAGATATATATAGTGTATCACCATTCAGTGTGTTAAAAAAGAGAGAAGCTCTCTGGTAAATGTTGTGTGTTTTATACACATACCTCTGATGACCGAGAACAGTGCAGTCTTTTCAAATGCCTCTTTCTGAAGTGGACCACCCCCTTTATGTTGAATTTGGACATGAGGGAATTTTTTTAAAACCTTAAAATATAATACAGATTGAGGTGGTTAACAATTGCAGACAAAGTGTGACATTTCAAAATGACCAGTAAAGGAATTATTTTTTAAATTTCTGATTTGCGTTGTAACTTATTGAGTATTGACACCACAATGTTTGATTAATGTGTCAAAATGGTGGTAGGCTTTACCTGTCCAGCATCCTCTGAACACATGCGTGCTGAACCGTGGGCCTAGTCATGGATCACTATCAACTACGATCTGCTCCCTTCACTAAAATGTCACAGTTCCTAAACATGATAACAAATAATATAGATAAATAATGAACACATGTCAAAACGAAAACACAGATACTTACAAGACCCGCTGCTCTCCGACAAGTAAACTTAGAGCTCTCTGGTGTAAAAAAAATTCAAAACACAACACTGATCTCTACTAACTCTCATGTCTTGCTCTCAAAAGTTTACTTGCATTTGATAAGAAGCTGCGTGGGCGAAAATTACATGTAAACAATTTTAAGGCTATTTTGGCTATGCTCATCGCTGGTCTGGTCACTGGTCTATAGCCAAGCCATTAAAATTAGACCACAGATTGCCTCGATTTCGCCGGGTGGGCTAAAAGCAGACTATACGTAGCCCGTCTAATTTAGAGCGAAATCGTGGCTACATATAGACCATGTCATTAAATGACACTTATATATTTGTAGATATTATTGACACTGCGAACATGATGGGATATCAACCCTCTCATGCGCTGTCTGGCCAAAACCTACAGTGAATCAGGTTTGACTATAAGTGGGCTACAGATAGCCGCTCTGACTACGAGCTAAATCGTGGCTATGCTCAGGCTACGTATTGAACATGTCAAAGAAATTAAACCAAACACACTGTAAACGCTGTTGACTTTGCTTACATGATGGAATATCATACATCTCACAAGTTAATTTGCCAAAAAACGACATGAAACCAAATTCAAGGTTATTGGGCTAGAAGTGGATTACACATAACCGGACTATATCGCGTCTATACTTAACCGAGACGTTGAAATGACGGCTATTGCTTGCTGGGTGCTGTCACCGCCGTCGAGCTAGGTGGGTGTGGTTTCAGCAGCCAGCTCCCGCCTCTTTGCCCATTTTCAGTTATCTGTGAGTGACGCACGGTAACACGCTGTCAAGATGGCGGCGGTCTGCTCCACCCACTTTGAGCTCCAAAAACTCTCTTCAGAAAACTACGGGTGACGTCACGGACACTACGTCCATGTTTTTATACAGTCTATGAGTTATTGGCTTCGTGTGTCCCGGCCTTTAGGGTTGTAGGGATGGGCAGATCGATCCTTAAGTATCGATACTGATGTTGTATCGAAAGGATCCATCCTCACATAAAAATATTGATTCTAAAGTGCACTTTTTTAACCATTAATTGTATTTATTTATCAAGAAATTCGGTGCATAAAAAAAGCTTCTAAGTATATTAGCGAATAGTTGTGTTGGATAGAACCATTTCTCCTGCTCATCAGAACACACGCAAATGCTGAAAGACAGAATCAATCAATCAATCACAGACAGCGTTCGCTGCTGACGCATGGCTCAGAGTGCTTAAGTAGATCTTAAGAAACCATCGCCACATTATTACATTAGCCTACATAACATTGTTACTATAAATAAAATTAATTCTGAAAAATGCGTCACGGTTTCCACACAAATATGAAAAAATTTTGGCCCCACTTTATATTAAGTGGCCTTAACTACTATGTACTTACATCAAAAATTAAGTACAATGTACTTATTGTGTTCATATTGTATTGCAAAACACTTTTGCTGCTATTAAGGTGGGATACGGGTAAGGTTAGGGTACAATATAATATAATATAAGTACAATGTAAAAACATGCATGTACACAATAAGTGCATTGTACCAAATTATTAATTTAAATGTAAGTACATAGTTGTTAAGGCCACTTAATATAAAGTGGGTCCACAATTTTTTTTGTTCAAATAAGTGCAGCCTTGGTGAGCATGAGACTTAAAAAAATAAATTACAAAATCGTATTGACCCCAAACTTTTGTGTA